TTCCCACAGACCCTCCTGTAACCACGTCCCCACCGTCCCCTTCCCCCTTCCTGCCTTCCCCAAGGCTCCTGTTACCCCGGGCAGCGTCTTCCCACCGCCTGCAAAGGCAGCAAATCCATCTGCCTGGGAGAGGAGATGGGATCTGGGCTCCCTGGGAGGCACCACTTAACCCCGGAGCTCCAGCCTGAGCTCTCCCATTTATTTGCCTCAATCCCGGCTCCCTCCACTTCCCTGCCTTGCTCTGAGCCTGTCTGGGGGGGGAATAAAGGGATTTGGGGCACAGCTGGTGCTTTGCTGCTGCTGGAGAGTCCAGGGATGGAGGGGGAGGGTGGGAGTTGGGAAGGGGGGGGTGCACGGGAATCACTGCAGAGTCGCACACAGGGAATGGATCCGTGGGGATTGTGGCTGCCCCATCCCTGGAATGTCCCAGTCCAGGCTGGACAGGGCTTGGAGCAACCTGGGCTAGTGGAAGGTGTCCCTGCCTGTGGAGTGTGATGAGCTCTGAGGTCTCTTCCAACCCAAACCATTCCATGACCCCACCGTCCCCCTCAGGGTCTGGGTCTCCCCTGGGCTGGCTCTCTCCCAGGACCCCCATCCCTAACCCTTGGGATGGGGCTGCAGCTCCACAGGAGGAGGCTTTTGAGCCCAAATGGAAAAAACCAATGGAATGAAAACGGGCTGTGGAGCTGCAGGAGCTCCGGCTCCATCCCCCATCCACCTCGGGAGCAGCACAATAAGAGGCTGAACGGGTTTGCACGTTACCTGCAGGCTGCTCCAGAGCCTAATTAAGAAATAATGAGCCTGACTTTGCTGGGTAATGGATAAAAACCAAGCAGCAGGTTCCTGCCCCCTCCATCCCTGTCTCTGTACCACCTCCAGGAATGCAGGGAGCAGCTCCCAGGGTGTCCCTGCTTTGTTCCCCACAGCAGGGACCTCACACTGCCCGTGTTCTCCCTTGTCCACTTTGCTCCTTGTCATTTGAAAGCGTGAAATATGAAGTTTAGTCGCCAGGTTTCCCACAAAAATGCCGTTTTTCTGCAAGCTCTGATCCTGTGACTCACACAAACCCCTGGACTGTTCCGGCATCATCCTGTATCCTGGACTTCTCACAGCCATCTGTGCCGGGGAAAAAGGGATAAAACCCAGTTACAGGCACACACCAGCAGAGCTGGGGGACCTTCCCTGGAAAATGGGGTTTGGAGCAAGAAGTCTTTTCTAGTCCCTGCTTTGTATCCTTGAGAAAATAACTAAAAAATCCCGTTCCTCCATGTTGTTTCTTTAAGGAGAGAAGGTTCTCTGATACTTTAATGGCCGGAGAGTTTCGCAGCCACTGAAGTGCCCGAGCACTTAAAAAAGAAAGCTGTGGGTCCGTCAGAAGGAGGCAGAAATCAATAGATCCGTCCTCTCCCTTCATGCTGGTTCTCCAGGAGCTGGTTTAAAAGGCAGTGCCCTCGCAGCAGGAAGGGAGGGAAGCGTGAGGGATCAATTCTGGAGCGAGGCTGGGATGAGTCGATGCTGAATAAACTTTGGTTGGAAGCCCTTTCCAGGGAGAGCAACGTGGTGATAGAACAGAGTTGCTGGGGGAGCAACTTTCTTTTCCCACTCCGACGGCTTTTTAATGTTTTTCCTGCTGCGTGAGAGTCTTTTAAGCGGGAGAAGCTTTGGGGCTTGGTTTGATTGGTGTCAGCGTGGGGCAGGAGGGCTGGAGCAAAGCCGGGAAACAAAGGGGGCCTGGGGGCTGGATCCTGCTCCTCTGGACCCCGGGGCTGGATGGGGAGAGGGGCAGGAGGTGCTGGGGGGGCTCAAACCCACCCCAGTCCCTCAGGGAACACCCCAACGAGGAACCCCGACCCCTCTGCCCTGGAAAGGGGCCAAGGCAAGGGGCAAGGCTGGGGCTGCACCCAGCTCAGAGGGGGTTCAGGAGCCTGTGCTTGCACTCAGGTCTTTGCCCCTCTGTCCTGTTTGTTCTCCCTGATCCTTCCCAAGCACGAGAGTCCTCCCCTCACACGACCTGTTGTCTTCCAGGAACGACCTTGAGGAGGAGCCGGGAAGATGCAGAAATGAATCCCCTGGGGAGGAGGAAGAGCTGAAGCTCTGACCGAGGAGGTGCCAGCCCTGGTGTTCCCTGCTGTGGGTTTGGAGGGGAGGGGGCACAGCCGGACGGTTCCGGGGGCTCCCATGGAGCATCTCCTCCCTCGGGGGCTGTTCCCACCCGGCTGCGCCCTCTGAGCCTTTCCCGCCCGGCAGGAGCTGCTCCCAGGGCCCAAGATGAGCTGCCTGCAGACCAGCTCCCTGCTGCTGTGCGTGGTGGCCGCCGCTGCCATGCCCACGGTGCCCTGGAGGGTGAGGTGCCCCCCTCAGTGCGTGTGCCAGATCCGGCCCTGGTACACGCCCCGCTCCGTGTACCGGGAGGCGGCCACGGTGGACTGCAACGACCTGTTCATCTCCTCTGTGCCCCGGGACCTGCCCGAGGGCACCCAGACCCTGCTCCTGCAGAGCAACAACATCGCCAGGCTGGAGCAGAGCGAGCTGGACTACCTGAGGAACCTCTCGGAGCTGGACCTGTCGCAGAACAGCTTCTCCCACGTCCGGGACTTGGGGCTCCAGGACATGCCCCAGCTGCTCAGCCTGCACCTGGAGGAGAACCAGCTGTCCGAGCTGCCCGACAGCAGCTTCCCCGGGCTGGGCAACCTGCAGGAGCTGTACCTGAACCACAACCAGCTCCGCAGCATCGCCCCCCGCGCCTTCGCCGGCCTGGGCGGGCTCCTGCGCCTGC